TGCTGGGTTGTGCCCGGTGCCGGGCCCCGCCGCTGTCCCGTATTGTATCCCATCACCTTGTGTTACCTGTGTGCACCCTGGCGAGCTCCCCCTCTGCTCTGCGCCCTGCAGAGACCCCTCCCGGCCCTGATCCTGCTGCTGGACCAACTGCCTGAACCCAACTGCCATCAGCAACGGATCCTCTGGGGGGGAAATGTCATTGTCTCTGCTTCTCACGCTGTCCGGAGTGATTCACGACTGGGAGTGCCAACGTCAGGGCAGACTGACAAAAGCAGGGCAGACCCCCCAGTTCGGGGGGTATGTTCTATAATTCGATTTCACCCACCCAGTAACAAATGTGAACTCCTGAGTCACGGTAGCAATCTTCCTGCGGGTCTCCCCCTCCATCTTTTGTCCTTACTCAAGGACAATGGAGTCCGGCCCGGTCCTATCATGACCGCATAGGATAATGACTTTACCACACCTACTCTCTGCCACTGAATCCTTCTTCCTACCTTCAATGGGATGACAGTCATGGAGCAAGTATCCATGCACACAGTGGATGGTTATCGTCACCCCTTTCTGTTGCCACGGCGGCCTAACCAAGGTGCTTCAGACTAGGGAACGTGAAGCTGCTGAGTCTACGACTCCTCTTGTGGCTTCCTGGCCTATTCTGATGGGAACTGTCTTTATCCCAGACTTGCCTTTTACACCGGCCAACCCACAGAGTTCCATGAACCCGCAGTCCACGTATGGGCAGTCTTTCTTTTTGGGTCCTTTGCTCCCACCCTGGTAACAAACTACTGCGCCAGTGGTTAGAGCACTTGTATTCGCCCCTTGCATCTCTTTCCTGGGTTTTGATGAAGCAAGCACTGGAATGGGTTACTTAGGGAGCATAGGCGTGCGCAGCACATTTCATTAGGGTGTGCACACAGGTAGTCCCGCCCAAGCCCCGCCCCCATTCCAATCCACACCCGCCTACTTCCCGCCCCCTGACTGCCCCCTTCAGAATCCCAACCCCCCCTGCTCCTTGTCCCCTGACTGCCCCTTCCTGGGACCCTGCCCCTAACTGCCCCCCAGGACCTCACCCCCTATCTAAGCCTCCATGCTCCTTGTCTCCTGACTGCCCCCTCCTGAGACCCCCCACTCTAACTGCCTCCCTAGGACCCTACCTCCTACCTATCCCTTGACTGCCCCGACCCTTAGCCACACCCCCGCCCCCAGACAGACCCCCGGGACTCCCATGCCTATCCAACCACTCCCTGCCTCCTGACAGGATCCCCAAAACTCCCAACCCATTCAACCCCCCTGCGCCTTATCCCCTGCCCACCACCTCCAGAGACAAACTGTTTTTATGGGGTGCAGATGAACCCCCAGTTATTCCTTGGGTGGTTGGGTGCTACAACTGGCCCTTGGTGGTTGGGAAGGCTCTGCATAAATTGCTCAAGGATAATTGAGTCCATCAGGATCTTTATGTCCTGCTGATCTGGCCTCAACCACCGAGGTTGCGCAGTCTGACCTCTTCTGTAAGAATGCCCTGGGACGTATCCCACCATTCCACCTAGCCTCTCTACATTTCTGGTAGTTCCTCTCCGCTGACAGGCCCACCCTGTCCAGAATAGTGGCTTTCGGAGGGTCATAGTCTCTGGTTTGGGGTTCGCTCAGGGCTGTATAGGCTGTTTGACCCTTGCTGGTGAGATAAGGGCCAGTAAACAGATGAGGCTACATTAAATCAGGTGTAGTTTGACTTCAATGGGGGTAACACCAGGGCTGATCTTGGCCCGTGGTCTTTGAAAAATAATTGTATTCAGCACCTGGTGAGCATTTGTGCAGCAGGGATCTAAAGCCACAAAGCGGAGGAGGCGATTGTAACACCTCAGTTCCTTCACGCTGATCAGGATTATGATTTCCATCTCCAACAGCGCCGGCTAGTGTGGGCAGAAGGGCGTTTCTCATTGACTGGCGAGAGCGCCACAGCCCTGAGACAGAAGTTGGCACAGGCAGTTGTAGTAACAGCTTTCCCCACTCTGCCCTGAACTGGAAGGACCACTTCTATCCCTGGGCTCTCGGCGAAGAGTGCCAAGAAGGGTGCCAAGAAGGGTTTGGGATGTGGACACGCATCTGCATGGAACTGAACCAGTAGCACCTCATTTTACACCAGGTGCCAAGCTGTGAGGGTCATTAAAAGGCTTTATCACCGTCAAGCCGGCTGGACGTGAACCCCTGGCTTAGGGGAGAAACGTTCCAAGCTGGCCACAATCTGCAGGGAAGGTGCAGAGATGTAAGTCAATTTGCCGCTCACCTGACAGAGAGGATTGACTGCAGCTATTCTCCACAAACGGCTCCTGACCCACCTGCAGCAGCTTCTCGGCGACTGACGAGTCACGCAGGGCCCCAGTAAAGAAAACCAGCTTGTGCCAACAGCCCACGTACTGGCCTCAAGTGAGAAAAGTTTGGCCCTGTCAGCGTCTCATTGCACAAGCTGAGAGATTGAAATGTGTCATCCTTTTATCACCTCTGAACATCAAGAAACTGAGAAGACAGGACCACACCTGAGCAGAAACACACCCTGGGCAGGAACATCCAAGAAAACAAGTAGCAGGGAAGTAGGAGCCCCAATCACAGAGCAGGACCCCATTGTGCTAGGAGCTGTACAAATGCAGAACACAAAGTTGGTCCCTGCCCCACAGAGTTTACAGTTTAAGTATAAGAGAAACAAATGGATACAGTCAGACAAGGGGAACACAAGGAAACAACAGGTACGTCTACACCGCAATAAGAAATCCGCAGCACTGATGCTCAGAGCCTGGGTCAATTGACTCAGGCTCAGACTGCGGGGCTAAAAATTGCTGGGTAGACATGCAGGCTTGGGCTGGAGACCCACCCCCCTCATGGGGTTTCAGAGCCCGGGCTCCAGCCCCAACCCAAACCTCTACACTGCAATTTTTAGCCCTGCAGCCCAAGACCTGCCGAGCCCGAGTCTGCTGACCAGGGCCACCGACAGCGGTGACGCAAGTCTTTTCTGGCAGTGTAGAAGTGCCCAATGAGACAATACTAGTCAGCATGATAGGTAGTGATCTCAGCACTCCAGGCAGCTCCACAGGGAGGAGAATTGCCGAAATCACCATCTTCAAAGCCCTTATAACATGAAATTATACTAAAAGTCTGAGTTCATCACATGGCTTTACATTCCTAGACTCGGGCCAACAGCTGCTGGCTCTGTAGCACACCCCAAAGGCAGAGAGAAGGCTCTGAGGGTGTGTCTACACTGCAATTAAAAACCCATGAGGAGGAAGAGTCCCAGACCCCGAGCCCAAAGGCCTAACAGCCCCTTAGCCTGAGCCCAAGTCAACTGGCACAGGCCAGCCAGGGGTTTTTATTGGCAGTGTAGACATACCCTTGGACTGAGATCTTTATTCCTGTCTGAAACTGCGCAATCAGCTTCTCGCTGAGGGGAGAAATTCGCAGTCACCTTCTGCTTTGAAATCACAATTCGGAAGTCAGGAACATAGAACTGGAGGGGACCTCCTGGGTCACTGAATCCAGTCCCCTCTATCAC